CAGGACTTTTTTTTTTTTTTTTCAATTTTTCATTATATTTAGCAGCTGGCCAAAGACATAATACTACTTCCTTCAGCATAATCTGACCAAAATATGAATTTAAATTTCAGAGTTGACCATGGCAGGGGGAAAGGTAAGAGAAAGGGCAAGGACAGAAGGTGGGGGAAGTGGGAAGGAGGAGCCCTCTGGGGGCAGAGACCGTCTCTGACTTGTTTATTGCTTTATCCCTAGACACACAGCATCATGTCTGACACATATTAGGTGTAAACAGTCACTGTGTGGAATTAATATTTACTGTGGCCTGCCAGGCACCAAAGCTTTCACATTTCTTATTGTAGCTAATCCTCTCAACATTTCTATAAAATCAGAATTATTATTATTCCTCTTTAACAATAGCTGTATCTTGTGCTGATACAAAATAACGTACCAATGGTTGAGTGAGAAAGGAAAATGAATAGTAAAAATTAGGTTTATAATCATCTAGTTTTAACTCATTCAAATAAAATGAAAGGAGAGATGACTGGAAGTTATCATATGATTCATTTTAAACAAAATAAAAAGAGAGATGACCAGTAAGTTATCGTATGAATAAGGGTATATGAGTTTTGTATATACTCTGTTTAGTGACTGTCATAGGTACCACTGTGAAGGCTTTATAACTAAGCATGATACTAACTCTCGGTGTGCTCTGCATTTCAGGATTCAGAAAGCAACATGGGGAAAGGTGAACCAGGTAGACTGGTATTTAAAAAAATAAAAACACAAAACAGCAGCAACACTTACCACTATCAGCCATCACCAGCAAGGTGTCAAGTCACTGAATACAATTCAACTAAATTGAGGGAAAATGGATTACCTTGTGTGTCTATTTAAAAGTTTCGTGTATCTTGAGAGGAATAAAAATGGGATTTGCTTGTTTCAATGTATCTCAAACCCATACGCAAATAGAACTCATACTGCACTACACATTTATAGTCAAAGACAATACTTTGTTTTTAAGAGGAGCAGCACACACTGTAACTGCAAGTGAATGACACACACACAAAAAAAGAGCCAGACAATGTTAAGCTCCAATGAAGAATTTTGGTAATTACAAGCTGTATTTTAAAAATCACCATCAAATATGTTTGTCTCCATTGTGTGTGATTCCTCTGAAGATTGAAAACATTTTCTTCCCTGCGGCTCCCCTCCCCCTGTCATTTTATCCTTTTCTACTGCTTACTACCACTCATGTCAAATTACTCGTGTGTGTGTGTGTGTGTGTGTGTGTGTGTGTGTGTGTGTGTGTACAGGAATGACAGAATTTGAATGTCTCTCCCCAAAAAATTTAAACATAAAATGAGCTCTAGGGCAGGAGAGGGATTGGTGGTGTTTTTTAATGGGTGGATCTTGAGGAGATCCAGGAATAGGGGCTATATAAATCAGAGACCAACAGGTGGCATTTGTTGTTTGTTTAGTAAACAGAAATTACTAAGTACCTACTAAGATAAGCACTGTGCTAAGTAGTGGACATCCAGAAAAGTGAAAGACGTGCGAGTTTATTGACAGGTATGATAGGAAATTACAGTTCACTGAAAGGTAAATTATTGTTTTGAAACCTAAACCCCATAGCTAAATGGATCCAAGAATTTAACAAATACTTATTCAGTTCTGTTAACGATCTTCCCCTTGAAATATTCTTTTACTAAGCTTCGTAACACTATGTCTTCCTGAAATTGTTTTATGTCTTAGATTCCTTTGCAAGATTTTCATCCCTAGCCTGTTGTTTAAATGTTGGTGTTTCCTAGAGTTCTGGCCTAGGATTTCATTTCTTCTCATTCTAAATACTTCCCCTGCGAGTTCACATTTGCTATATGACTTTTAGTATCATTCCTATGATATGGACAACAGATATGATGGCATCAAATTCTGCATGTTCAGATCAAATACCTTCTATATCACATACATTACTACCTGGGCATTTCAAAATATCAAAAATTGAACTGATCAGTTTCCTCCTATATCACTGATGAGCAGAGCTACCTGTGAAGTTGCCAAATTGAGAAACCCAAGAATCATTCTTAACTCCTTTCTTTTTACTTCCTAACAACCAATCTCAAAGTTCCGTGGACTTTAAATTCTAAAACATACTAAGAAGTCACCCACTCCTCTTCATGCTCTCTGCTACCACCCAATCCAGGTCACCATCATCTGTTGCCAAGAGTCTCACAAATGTCTGCTTAATCAGTCTCCCTGGTTTCAGTCTTGCCTGGCTCTAATTATTTTTCACGTTACAGCCAGTTGTCTATTTAAAATGCAGATTTATCATATTGTTCTCTTATTTCAAACCCTTATCCGATTTCTCATATACTGAAGGTAAAGTCCAAACTCTTCTATGAGGACCTTTAGATCTCTGTCTCCTTAAAAATTCTCATTTTGCTGCCCTTCTCTCAGATGCTACATTCCAACATACTGACCTTTCAGTTGCTTAAACATGAAATTGTGCCTTCCCCTATTCTTTCCATTGCCTAAAACTTTTATCTTCACTGCAAACTTGCCTAACTAACTCCTAGTTATCAGTCCAACATTGGCTTCCTTTGGGAAGCCTTCTTGGATGGCCTCCCCACTCCAGTTCAACTACTTTCAACTGTACTTAATCCCCTTTTACTTCCAACAACCTACTCTTACCTATGACACATTAAGGACAGATGTTCTTATGATATGTTCCCACAGTCACTTACACTTTCCCTTTAATATAATTTTTGAGTATTTTATTATAAACACTGGTTTCATAGTCTTCACTAGTTGTGATACAGAGGGCAAGAAGCCATCCATATACACAGCTTGGCCTTTGTATCCCTAGCACCTAGTACAGTGGTGTGCAGAGAATTGGTGCTCAATAAGTGTTTGTTTAATAAGTAAATGGAGTACCTCATTTATAGGAAACTGTAAAGGGTTTAGAGCTAAATAAAACACCCTCTACCCCTGAGGAGAATAACATAAAATGCAGAATGTCTGTTATACATAATTATAACATGATAATGAGTAAATAAAATTGACTTCAATTTGGATACATGAGGATTTGCTAACATTGTAAATTGGAATTAAATATTTAGTTCTCCCTTCTGGGATAATCTAATCCACACTGAACACTTCTGGAAGACAGTTTTATGATTTTCTATTACAGATGAGAAAATAGGCACAGCAAAGTTAATTGAGTTATCCAAGGTTACCTAGTGAATCAGAAACAGAGCTAGGTACTATTGTGTCATTGTAGGATTTCAGCCTATATACTTGAATAGCATTCTCCAAACTATTATCTATGACATTCATACGTGAATATAGAAACTTGGGAATACAGGTGCTTCCCCAAGGATTTTCCTCTAGCCTTTAACATTACAGGCTTTCTGTGATAGACTTCTGTACTCTTGCACACTCTGAGAGTTCCTTCTTTATTCATAATAAAATGTTATTATCAGGCACCAGTCACCACTACAAAGTGTCAACATTTAACTCTTCTGCTCTGGGACATTATATTGCACATTGTCCATCTATAAATGTCCATAGCTAGTTGGCTGGTACATTCTATTGCACTGGATGGCATTTCAGTGGAAAATGCTGCCAGTATTTAACAAACATCTGAGAAGTAACATAGGCTATTAAATTTAATGAGATTACTAGTTTCAACATTTGTACTGTTAAAGGAAAAACCAGTTGCGCTGACATTTCAAAAGGCTAGATATACATTCAATAAATATGTTTACATACTGTATGTTATTTTGGGAGCAATGGTAAATGCTACACATAACCACAATGCTACACATAACCACCTAAAAAAACTTTCTCAATATACACATTTAATATACAAAGAGCTATGCTTTTTATAACAAGCATTGCTGATATGAGTTTCACAGAGATAGGCAGGGCAAGCATACACTTGAGATTCTTCCTAGCCCCAGACTGGACTAACCAATGCTCTTTGTTTTTTATACCTGAATGTAGTACAAGATGCTAAAATAATCTATTCTGTACAGAACTGCAGCTAACATGTACCACTTTTATTGGATGTATAAACTACAGTTCCTCTGCATTTTCAGATCAATTATACAATTTTCTCTTAATGGATATACCATCAAGTAGTAGAATCCTCAATCACAGAACATTTCCCTTGCTCTTTGGGCTTTATATGACCTGTCTTTCATTTGCCAAAAGCAAACATTTTTACCGTTGAGGCACTCAAACCAGCACATTACATCACTCTCTAGTCTTGCCTTGTAATTCCAGGTCCATGAAGATCTCTAAACGTCCAAAGTATTTACTGTTCTTAATCCCCAACGTGACATTAAGTGAATTGGTTCTGTCATGGGAATATAACTGATTATGTTTCCCCTAATAAAGACAGACACTTGAGCTACCCATTTGTAAGTTAGCCCAATGTGAAAGGAAGAGAGAACTTCCATCAGATGCCAACTTAACATCCATTGCTCATATCATGAAAATGTCAATTAAAATTTGAGTGGAATCTTTCTAACACAATTTTCCAGCCCAAGAAATGTGAATAAACCAAATTGAATTGCCAGGCTGTACAAGGTAGTCTTAAGCTCTATTTATGTATTAATTGGTTGGTCACTGGTAGATGACACCCATGGGGTCAGAATACTTTTGACTTTTACTTGAAAATGTAGATTCCATGAATTCAACCTCAGTCATCAGTCCTGTTTTAAGGGAAATGACTGTGAGAGGATACTGCCTTCATTTCCTAATGCTGCAGTTCCTATTATGCTACCAAGGAATAAAATTTCCTTTCAGAAGTAGCATAGATGCTGATTTGGCTTTCTGCTTTAGGTAAGTGCTTGCAGAGACTTCTAAAGGAAGCAAATTCCAGCTTTACAGTTCTGACATTGTACTTGTCATCCTATTTGCTGTACCAGTGTGAATGTGACAATAATAAAGGATAAAAGAGCAAAAAACCGAATGTTTTCATACCACGGATACTCGCCCTATTTAAAAGTTTACTTTACCTGCAGAGATTCCATTTCTTCATCTTTTCGTTGGGTCTCTTCTAGTAGATCTATAATAAGAAAGTAAAATGCCCATCAAAATGCAATGTAAGAATGAGTTGCCTCTTATCATCAAATGCAATTCAGCCAGTAGCTTGTATAAACTGTTGTCTGAGAAGAGATTTTAATGTTTAAGTGTGAGAAGCAATGTAAAAGAAACACCCTCTGATCCCAACTGTTGACATATGGCAGAGTGTTGGAGCCTGCCAACTCTAAGCTAACTGAGAAGCCCTGGAAGATCTCTCAGCTTTACCTGACATATCAAAGGATGATACCAAATCAAATAAAAATCTGTAATCAAACCAATACTTCAGGGATTTGGTCTCATGCTTATATAACTCAATGCAATACAAAATCTCCTTTAGAAAAAAAAGAAAAGCCTTTTTCTTTTGAAAGAAAAATTAGAAACAAACGATTTGCCCTTAAAATAAGCTCCCAAGCCACATTCTGCCCCCAGAATCAATTTTTATCACCAAATTAAAACACCCTGGAATAATAGGTGTTATTAATGGAAGTAGAACATTGCTTCATCTCTAAAGTCTTATTAATTATCGTTTCACATTGACAGGGTGGGATGCTACATTGAAGCTACATTTGACTAAGAGTTTGGCACCATACCAGAGAAATTAGTGGTTGGAAGGGAAGGTTATCAACTGAGGAGAGCCCTGTCTTAACGCATGTATACAGCCACGGTGTCTCAGCGCCCTACGTTAATTTATGAACTTGCTATTAAAAAAACATATTTTCTGCCTGCAGGTATACCTCCCTGTGCTATGATCTTATTAGATCTCATAAAACCAAAGAAGACTAGGCTGAGTCAGAACTTGCATGAAAACTGGTAAGAAACACCTACAGCAGTGTACATTAACATGAGTATTTGCCTTACTCTCTCATTGATACAGCTTACCAAGAGGCTATGTTACATAAAAGGAAAATGTAAGTTACAGAAGTCTAATATGTATCCCAGAAAGGCAAACTCAAATGTTGGAGTAAGTGCTAAACTAGATATAGCAGGAAAAAGTCACATAGTGGGGTGGCAAAGTCCTGCTGACATGTCGTAACTGGGAAGGTGATACATGAATCTTTCAAGAGACCTGGCAGATGACAGAACTGACGGCGATGTCCCTTTGAGACTACACAGCTAAGAGGGTTACAGAGGAGTGGCAGGCAATCTCCTGGAGACACAACATGCTTGGATTAAGGATGAGAGATTGTTTCTATACTGCATGTTATAGAGGAACAGACTTTGGCTCCCAAAACCTCCCATAAACAGGCAAATCAAAAAATAAAAAGAGCAGGCCAGTGTTTTAAGGTGTGTTTTTAAAGGGGTTTTGATTGGCATATCAGGTTCTTTAGCTATAAGATACAGAAACCAACTCAGGGTATGGAAGATTGCTTAAGTGACCTCAATCATTCCTCTTCCTGCATCTTCACTCATTTGCTTTGCAGCCTTGTAGCTACTTCCATCAAGAGGCCATGCACGTGTACTTCACTTCTTGCGTCTGGGCTGGCCTCCTGACTTGATTCAGTGAATAGAATATAGCTAAGGCTGAAGTCATCCTGTTGTAGTTTTTACCGAGGCTTTAAGAGGCCTCACACATTTCTACTTTTTTACTTGGAACCCTGTCACTGACCTCTGAATAGGCCCAGGCCAATCTGCTAGATGACAATGAACACGTGGTCTAGAACTCTTCCCACCTCTGTCACCCTGCAAGGTGTCCCAGCTGCCAGCCAGCAAATGCCCAGAAGCAGAGTTGCCCCGTCGATCTGAGGATGACTACAGATGACTGAGATGTGAATCCAACTGAGACCAGACAAATCGCCCAGCTGAGCCCAGCGTCCACTCCAACTCACAGAACTAGGAGCTAAATCAACGGAATCATGGAGTGGTTTGGTACCCAGGACTTGCCAACTGATAGCAATGAGTTGCTAATTGAATAATGTGTATTTAGAGTTTATTAGAAGGATACAGAGGTAACTAACAGATACATTGGAAAAGAGGATCCCAAATATGAAGGGAATAACAATTAGGGCAGGTCTGTGTGGGTCAACATGTGGGCAGCATGAGCTGATGAGCATTTTATTCTGGGCTCCTCTAAACTTTGTGTCATTTTACTCAAGATGAAACTTCGAAAAGAGAACAGCTATTGAGCCTAGCTTAGATCTCTTGCCCACTGCTTGGCTAGGGGAAAGTATGGAGTACTTTCATGGATAACCCCAAAAGGATTGGACTACGAATAGAAAGAATAGTTTCCAAATGCAAAATTAGGGTCTGTAACAGAAGATGGAAGGATGGACATCATACAGGCCAAAACAACAGATTTCTACACCAACTGGTTTCAGTAAACTGAGTCCTTAGCCCAACCCTCTTCAATATTTGTAAGATATAAGATCACTGCTGTGCTCCTATGAGGATGTGACTACTTAGCTCCATTACTGCTGGTTATTAGGGGATTTTCAGAGCTGGGCCCTTTGTAATGAATTGTGTTGTTTAATGGTGCAGTGGAACTGGGGTGATACATAGTGGGGTTCGTCAACCACAAAAGAACACTAATCTTGTTCCTTTAGAGTCAAGTTAGTATGGCAACACCAAACAGCTTAGATAAAACTTACTGGATCAATAATGAGTATCAGATCTTTTCTGCAGCCAAACACAACTCACTCGCTTGATAAAATATAAATGGAAAGAAGTCCAGTCTACTCACAGAACTCCATAAAATTATAGCAACTTAAAAATTATGTTCTCAGTTTTCGTGAAATATATACAGGTCACACTGCTCTTCCAACAAATCTGATGCCAATGACAATGCTTGATTTGGGATGGCTGAATAAAAACAACCAAAGAATTCCTAGAATTGGCATTTTAAATACATACATTTTAAATTTTAAATAAATATTCTCCCTGACTGACCATCTTGTATAAAGCGTATAAGCAGATACCTGTTTTGGTTTTGTTTTTACCCTTTGAAAACTCCTGTTCCTCTTTTCCACGTGATTTCCATGAAACTTTCGGTCAAGAGGCCTAACTAACCCTTCCTGCTGCAAAAGTAGGCCAAGACCCAGGCTAGCAGGTAAGAGCATCTTATTGCCCTGAGTATATGAGCTAAGCAACACCAGAGGTGTCCTTTTAGAGGATTAATAGGGATGCCAGGAAAGAAACTTTCTCCTTTGAAGCCACAGCTTATAGTGGCTTATTAGCTTATTAGCCTGGTGTTCAGAAGTCTGTATTTTCTACTGTGTTGAAGAAACTTATTCAGCAATGAGGGTGAGGTAAAGAAGAAATGAAAGCCAAAAAAAAGAGAGAGAACTGGCCGGGCGTGGTGGCTCAAGCCTGTAATCCCAGCACTTTGGGAGGCCGAGGCGGGTGAATCATGAGGTCAAGAGATCGAGACCATCCTGGTCAACATGGTGAAACCCCGTCTCTACTAAAAATACAAAAAATTAGCTGGGCATGGTGGCGCGTGCCTGTAGTCCCAGCTACTCAGGAGGCTGAGGCAGGAGAATTGCCTGAACCCAGGAGGCGGAGGTTGCGGTGAGCCGAGATCACGCCATTGCACTCTAGCCTGGGTAACGTGAGTGAAACTCCGTCTCAAAAAAAAAAAAAAGAGAGAGAGAGCTGCTTGAGGACTACACCCTTGACTGATGCCACAAACCTCCTTCTATTCTTTTTTTTTCTTAAATTAGCTTTAGTTGGATTATTGCCATTTTTTAAAGTCTCTAGGGATGTGGTTGTATTGAACCCTTTTATCTCTATTCAGAAACCTAGAGAACTTAAGAGTTGAGAAGAACTTTCTAGTCCACCTTAAAATGTTTTGTCCTATAACAAATATACGAAGACATAAGACTCAAAGAAATGCAAATGGTCTGGCTGAGTTCACCAGTCGCTTTTAGAGCTTTGCTCCCCTATCATCCTGCTCTGGCTAATCATGCTCTCATTTGTACTGCTCAATACTGACTTGCACCCTTCTTCATAATGTTACTTAAAAATAAAATACACACTTGTTTGTATTCTTCTGACCTGCTTTAAAAGTTCTCTGATGCCAAGTCACCAATCAGGGCAGCCATGACTTTCTTTTTTAGACAGGGTCTCACTCAGATGCCCAGGCTGGAGTGCAGTGGCAGGATCTCGGCTCACTGCAACCTCCACCTCCTGGTTTCAAGTGACTCTCCTGCCTCAGTAGCTGGGATTACAGATGCCCACCACCATGCCCGGCTACTTTTTATATTTTTAGTAGAGAAGGAGTTTCACCATGTTGGACAGTTGGTCTTGAACTCCTAACCCCAAGTGATCTGCCCCGGCCTCCCAAAGTGCTAGGATTAGAGTCGTGAGCCACTGTGCCCAGCCAGTCCGTAACTTTACATCCACGGTCTCCTTATCTACTGCCTTTCTATCTTTGATATTTAACTTAGAGCCCCAAAATTGCTCACTCCACCCACATCAGTGCTGTATGCCACTGCTTGCTCATTAGGTGCATTTTTAAGCACATACATTTGCAATGATGAACGGGGTTATTAACCTGTGCTGAAGAAATATGGCTACTGGGCATCGTTGAGAAGCACCACTCTACTGCAAACAGAAAAAACATGAGAGAATGTAGGTGAGACCTCTAGATAGCTGAAGTGACTTAACACTGTGATAACTGAGTGTGATTATTACCCCTCATTATAATGAACGATCTTGTTTGTTCTTATTAGCGTGGAAAAAGCTGAAGGGCTGCTCTGCTCCCTTGCTTACCACTGACACCGTGTTTTCTTTTATTATTCTCTGGTTTGCTGTTTCATACAAATAGCAACACCATGCAGATTGCCGTGGTAAAATTTGCTTCCATCATCGTTTGTTAATGAAAGATCTTTGGGGAAAAGGGTAGCAGCCTTGTGTATTTTCCTTGAAATGGTTCCAATTTTTTAAATGAGCTGATATTAACTCATTATGACATCAAACCATAAGAGGGAGAAAAATATAAAAAGCATATTAAAAAGCAGAACATTATGGATGAGAACTGGTGAATCC